AGAAGAACGAAAGCTAGTTGCACTACAGCATCAAGGACTTACTTTATCTAATAGTTAAACCATTAGATACTAATCAGCAAAATTTAATCCCCACATCTTCAGGATTAAATTCCCTTGCATCAACCTCTAGACACATTTTCCTTTGTGAATATATTTTAAACATATTATTACCGATAAGCTTATTTTTTTGACTGGCATACCTTGCATGAGAAGCAGCCCTCGGTAGATATGAGTCTGTCATGGGGAACAGCATACGGGTCCTTGTCTATGGGGTATGTGGGGATGTTGCTACCCAAGTTGGGGGCCCCACCATAGCTCCCATAACCTCCCCCGTAACTTCCACCATAGCCTCCACCATAGCCAAGTCCTGCCGGGTTGATGGTAGACAGACAATGTCCCTGATGAACACAACTAACAGTATAGTTCATACATAGATAAAATCCATGGGTTTATTTTACCCTTGCATACTTACATTTAATGATAGTAAATACAAACATCTTAATTTTAAAAGGTAATGTTTTACAAAGAATAACAGATATACATTTTCAAATCATGAATGGCTCAGTTTTGTTAGGTTTTCCTCGCTATATGATTGTCTGGGCAGCTGAGTGAATATTGAGCTTGCCTTCAAATCTGTAGGTTCATGATTTTATTCCAAGGCAGATTGTTTCATCAAAGGGTTGACTTTAGGCTAGGATTATACTAGGACGCTAGCGTCCGAGAGGCCAGCGTCCGGGACGCTAGCGGGGCATTAAATCAAATGGGGGCGATTATACTTTGGATGCTAGCGTCGGATGCTAAAAAAAGTCACCGAAAGCTCGAAGTTATTACCGTAGGTGGCATCGTAAAACCTAGGCCCGGGACCGATTTACTTTTTCATTTTGATGTCCCCAGAGGCCAAAAACACCATCCGATCGTATAGATTTAAATATTATATATATATGTCTGTAAACAACTGGAGTAACTTTTGATCTATTTTGAAGAAATTTGGTTTTAATGTGAAGGGTGGGATAAATTTCAATGAGTTCGTGAACCAGCATGAACATACCTTGGGAACGGGGTTAATGTGCTAAAAAGGGGGGTTTGTTATTTTTGACCCATAAAACTAAAAAAATTCACAATTTCTCTCTAGATAATTTTAATGAGCTTAAAAACAAATAATTTAGTACCTATATTTAAGTTTTTTTGTACTGTTATTAGTTATGGAGAAAATTAAAAAAAATAGTATATTAAAATTGCCATGTTATTCTTATAGAAAATGTTGTTAAGTGTTGGAATTTGCTTGTGTATGGATATATTTCGATTAAACTTGGCCAATTTGTTTTATACTAAGCTAATAATACAGTATTTTACTAAAAAAACACACTTTATTAGCCCCCTTAAAACTTAAAACCTTGGTACTCGTTAAACCTAATGTTATTTAATGTTACAAAAAGTGACTAAACATTGAAATCAAATGACAGTCCGAGAGGCTAGCATCCCAACACAAATCACGTCATTTTTCGGCTCGAGGTGGGACGCTAGCCTCTCGGATGCCAGCATCCCGGACGCCAGCGTCCTAGTATAATCCTAGCCTTAGATAGCAATTGGACCTGGGTTTAAAACGTATCCTCACAAAAAAGGTAAAAAAAAATCCTTTAGAAAGGAATTCAAATTTTTCTTCAAAAAAGGTATGATAATTTAAACTGTCAATGTTATTACAAAGTAGTATAGTCAATGTAGATGTATATATAATATTTTAAACAACTAACAGTAGTAAAATTTAACACACATAAAAAGTTGTAAGGGTTATAAATTACACAGATAATTAATTATCTGTGTAATTTATAACCCTTACAACTTTTTATGTGTGTTAAATTTTACTACTGTTGTTTAAAATATTATATATACATCTACTTTGTAATAACATTGACAGTTTAAATTATCATACCTTTTTTGAAGAAAAATTTGAATTCCTTTTTAAAGGAATTTTTTTACCTTTTTTGTGAGGATACGTTTTAAACCCAGGTCCGGTTGCTATCTAAAGTCAACCCTTTGATGAAACAATCTGCCTTGGAATAAAATCATGAACCTACAGATTTGAAGGCGAGCTCAATATTCACTCAGCTGCCCAGACAATCATATGGCGAGGAAAACATAACAAAACAATTATCCACTTTAGGTATTTATTTTAGTGTTTTAAGTAAGTATTTATTTTAGTATTGCACATAAATGTTATCACAATAATTCATTTGTGGTATAAAAAACTGATATAGGGTACCATACTTAGAACTTGAACAAATTTACTCAGAAAAGGTTTTTGAAAATTACTCAATATGCAGTTGTAAGTTTTGATACAATGCATCTTCAAACATCTTCCCTATTTCATAATGACACATATAAAAGTAAACTATGAAATCCCATTGTCATTGATTCTTTACAACTTTTATGTGAGTTAAATAAGGAATATATTATAATTAACCCTAATACCGGTAAGCAACATTTGGATGGTGTAAGCTATATTTAAATGTAATAAGCGGATGATTTACCTGTCCGATTCGTTCGTAGCCAGAGGGACAGCCACACTGGAAACCATTACCACTGGGTCCTGGAGAGCAACCGAAAGCGCAAGGGCTGCCAAGACAACTGGACGCAACCTGCCAACATGCATTACGATTAGTCTTACGTTGTAGATGAAATCAAAACTGCGCTAACAAATATTTACCACTGACTTGTAGATAGGTACTGAAGTAGACATCCCGTCTATATGGACCAGCTTTAGTAAATTATGTTAAAAAAAACATAATTGAATGAAACACTTACACAGTGTGCCCCTGTCAAAATTATTTGTTCTCCCTCATTTTAATTTTAGCGAATTTCTCATATAGGAAACAGGCTATTACTGTTGGTCTCATAGTAAGAACTAGACCTGGGACTGATTTGCTTTTTCGTTTTGATGTCCCCAGAGGCAAAAAATACTATTCGTTAAAAATTGTATACATATAATATATATAAAACAACAAAGAAATCAAATTTTGCAGAGCACCTAATCAAAACACGACATGAATACAAAAATAAAAATAAAAATTTAGAAAATGTAGAATATGAAAAAAAAAAAATTAAGAGAAGATTTTTATATTTACACAAATCACGAGTTAAAAGGTTACTAATGTTTTTATAATGTTTTCAACTGTATTACTATAACTAACTAACTATAAATAACTAACTATAACTCAGGGTCGAAGCACCATGAGAGCGCTCTCAGACCTTGTTGAGGAGGTGTCATGGGCCTTGGATGAGTCGCATAGCACGATGGGGGTATTTTGTGACTTGTCCAAGGCGTTTGACTGTGTCAATCATGATATCCTCATTAAAAAACTAGAGTCGTATCCCTTTTCTGGAAATTCAGTGTCATGGTTGAAATCTTACTTAAATAATCGCTATCAGAGAACAGTCATTTGTAAAGATAATTTAAAAGTAAAGTCAGAATGGCAAAAAATTAGAATAGGTGTGCCTCAAGGTTCGATTTTGGGGCCTCTTCTATTTCTTATATATATCAATGATCTTCCAAAAAATGTTTCAAATAATCTAATTCTGTATGCAGATGATACTACTGCAGTAGTTAAAACAGAAAACAATGAGAGATTAAAACATAAAATTGATGAAAGCCTAACCGAATTGGGGAAGTGGTTTGAGATCAATGGATTGAAAATGAATGAAGAGAAAACCAAATTTGTAAGATTTTGTACACCTCAATCAATGGCACTCACTGATCAATCTCAACCAACTGAGGATAATGTAAAATTTTTAGGGCTATATATTGATAAACACTTGACCTGGAGTAAGTGCATTCAGTCGGTAATCGGAAAATTAAATTCAGCCTGTTTTCAAATGCTATGTTTAAGAAATTCTATAGACCTGAAAACTTCTGTCATGCTCTATTATGCTTACTTTTATTCAATAGTACAGTATAGAATTGAATTTTGGGGGTTCGCCTCTGAAATTGAAAAAGTTTTTAAAATTCAAAAAAAGTTTATAAGAATTATGACTTTTTTACCATGGAAATCATCATGCAAACACATTGTTAGCGGTGCATTCAAATTTTGATGACCACATTAGCGAAAACTTTGACCACATCTATAACACTAGATTTAAAAATAATTTCCAATATCCAAGACACAGACTGAAGCTTGTAGAAAAAACACCTAAATCCATGGGAAAAAAACTTTTTAATAAACTACCCCCGAATCTAAAAACTTTAATTAATAATAAATCTTTTAAAAGCAGCCTTGCTGATTTTCTGATAAGTAAAACATTTTACAGTGTTAATGATTATCTCAATGGAACTAACCAATCAATATGACTTTTATTTTGTATGACTAGAAACTTAATTTTTCCGTTATTGTTTGACCAATTTTGCCAACTTGTTTAAAACATTTTTTAATGCATAAGACAAATTGTTGTACATTAGGTTAAGTTAGTAATAATCTTGACAATGTCATCTGTTTTTTAGCTGTGCTATGATTCAAAACGTTGATGTGACAATAAAGAATTATTTATTTATTTATTTTATTTATTTATAACTTGTAAATGTTTATGGTTTGATTTTTATCCTAAAACTGGCTGTAGCTTTAAGATGGTAAGTTTGATTCAGTCAAAGCTATATGAATCAAGTAAGTAGGCCTACTATGAAATAAACCTATTTCACACAATTTTATTTTCTATTGTGATTTATTTTCTATCCTAGCTCAGTTATTTTTATTTTCTAGAAAGCTAAAAGATAATTTGCAGTTTTTATCTAAATCATACTATTAAGGGATGTAGTTTTCTAGTTAACTAAGATGTGTCTAGTTATAGTGTTTGGTTGAGGAAAAAGATGGTTGCAGACAAAATTATCTGTCTGCAATGTAAGCTAGGTAGAATTAAGAACAGTAAAGTTATTTGGGTGTTTGTAAGATTAGATAGACAAAGTCACTTTAAACACAGTTGCAACAGAAGTTGACTTCAAAAGGCTTCGTTCAGTTAGGATAAGCGTAAGTAGATGAATTTTATTTTTCAAATAAATGTAAAGGCAAAGGTTTAAAATCTTTTCACTTAGAATAAATTTTTTTAAATTATGAACAAAATAGTCAGCATTAAAATCTATTTTTATGCAATGAATTATGTTGCAGGATGATATTGCAGTTTGTTTCCGCTAAAATTAGTGTACTATGTTGAAGCTGTTAAGTGTGTGACCGAGTAAACTAGAAAACTACTTTTCCTTTAAGAGTTTATTTAGCACTTTATTTCTAGAATTTGAAGTACCACAGCTAAAAACTAGCAAACGTTTACTTTCTCTACTCCATCCTTCACCATTTCTCTTGTTCCCGGCTCTCCACATATTTTGTAGTTCTACCTTGTATGACTAAAAACCAGTAAAACAATCTGCAGCATCAGTATTTGTTTAAAAGCTTTGCTTAAAGTTTAAGAGTTAGAAATATTTTCTCAAGAAAGAAAGGTCTGCCCAGAAGCTGTTTTAAGTGTTCCTCTTACACTCAAGCCCTGAGTTTACTTACATAAAAAAAAAAAAAATTAATGGTGTATTTTGGGGTGGCTAGAGTTAAGAGGCTAATTTTTTGCAAGATATTATAGCACAAGCTTTATAACATGTATCATGGCCTGATATCTGACTTAGCCTTTTAAGTTAAGTCAACGCCTTTGTTCCCATGATTTTTTGTGGAAAGTTAAAAAAATGGTTGGTGTCTAGGCAGAATCTGATTCCATTACAAACAACACTTTGATAAAACTCCAAATATTTAAATAAGTTCAGACAAACTTGGAATGGTTTTTTCCTGTGAATAAAATGTGCAAACAGTGACTCCTAGGTAAAGAAAATCTTATATCTACTTTTTCAAATTGTTTTATTTTTTTTATGTGGAAATGTACCTTTTTCAACAAGCAGCTAAACATTTTCAAAGAGAGTTAATAATTCTATTTCTTTTTAGCAAACAATGACACCTGAGATTCCAGAATGGTTGAATAGAACGTTTCTACAAAAGGCTCTTCAGAGACAGGAAGAAAAAGAACCAACGTTAACAATTGAAGACTTCTCTGTTAAGCTAGCAGTTGCAGCGGGTAACAACTACACAAGCCAAATTTTCAGAGTAAATGTGAAATACAAATCAGAAGACTTGCACAACTCTCCAAGCATAATAGTTAAATCACCCTATCCTCATTTTCAAAAGATTGAACAAGAGACAATAATGTACAAACAAATTCTTCCGAAAATGAAAGAGAAAATCAAGTTTGATTTAGGACCGACAATTTATTACAGCACCCAGCAAAACGTACTTGTACTTCAGGATCTAACAGGATCAGGTTATGTGATGTGTAACAAATTCACACAGTTAGACTATCCTCATTGCGAGCTTGTTTTCAGGAGACTAGCTAAATTCCACGCTGCTTCTGTAGCTCTTCACAGTGAAAATCCTGAAATAGTTGAAGATTTGGGAAAAGAAGTTTTGTACACTGAAGGGAGTACTTTTGTTGCAATGATGAAACCACTTTTAACACACTCAATAGCAGTTGTCACAGAAGCTTTGGAGGCAACTGCCAATAGTAAAGAGGTTATTGAGTTTTTACTCGACAACAAACAAAACTTTTTTGAATCGCTTATAGAAGTCTGCCAACCAAAAGCAAAAGGTCTGAATGTTCTGAACCATGGCGATTTGTGGAACAACAACATGATGTTTAAACACAAATCCTCGGGAGAAGTAGAAGACGTTAAGTTTGTTGACTTTCAAGCGTTGCGTTACATGAGTCCTGCCATAGATATTCTCTATTTCTCTTGGACCAGTGCGGACGAAGAAGTGCGGGAAAACAGACTACAAGAGTTGTACGACGTCTACCTACAAGAACTCAACGAGTGTCTACAGCAGCTAGGCTGTGAGGAGAGGTACACTTCTGAAGAGTTATGGCAAGATATGAAGTCCTCGGTAAAATTTGTGTTGGCAATTACGCTTTTAAATCTACCGTTGATGATGGTAGAGCCCCTAGAAGCTTTTGATATGTCAAAGTTTGATGAGGGAGAGTTCATAAAATGGGCTAACAATGGCAACATCAATCCCAAGGTACTCAGAGTATACAATGGAAAACACTTCAAAACCAAAATACCCACTATCATCAGGCAAATTCACAGTAGATTATTGTAAAATAAAGTGATAATAATATGTGTGTTTGCCAATAGAATATAACTAAATTATGAAAAAAATATGATACAAATAATTGCAGTTCTTTGAACTAGCTTTGACAGCTAACTTAGCTTCTTTTAAATTTTAGTTATTATTAACTAATCTACAACAATGTAAATTATCAAAAGGGTTCATTATTGAAAGAAAGTTGAAAATCAACTGATGAATAGCTAATTGATTGTTTAAAATCAAACATCTACATGAATCTTTACTTCAATGCTTTAATCTGCTACCAAGAGCTGCAAAAACAGACAATCAATATTGTTCATATTATGTACAAAACTTGTATGGAACAAGACTAAAACAATCTTCATCTATGCACTAACAATATTTGTCCATTTAAAATATTTAGACTTCCATGTCACATATTTCAATTGATTTGATAGGTTTTTAAAATTTGTAGATTCGTTTAACATTTCCCTACACATTGCAGGATACCATAAAACTAAATGCGTATGTAAATAGGCAGTTGAAATATATTTTGAAACCTAGTAGAATTAAATAACTATTTTTGTGGTATATATTAAAATATCTAATGCATAGTTTGTAAATGTAAACAGATTAAAAAGTTGATCATTTTAGTTTGTTTTTTTTTTTAATAGAGATCTAATAAAAATGAATCAAATTTCTTCATTCATGACATTTAGTTTTATTCACTTTATGTAAATAAATATTTGTGTACAGTATGTAGACTGAATGGCTTCACATACAGCTAAGAATAAGTAAATACAATTCACATTGATAATGTGAGGTCTCATAAATAAGAAACAATGTAAGAAAATGTTACAAACAAATTGATATAAACTAAAGCTAAATAGGAAGGAAGAAAGAAATAAAAATAATCCTCCAGGTTTAACAAAGTTTTCTCTACCAAATAATCTGTCAATTTATTTTTTTACTGTTTTCTTCATGTATTAAAAAATGCTGCAATTTCACCATTAAAAAATTTAATCCTCTGTAGGTATTTGATTGGTTTCTTCTACTTTCAAAATTATTCTCATGACTATTTCCTAAAGTCAAAATAACTTGATTGTCTAGAACGAGAATATCTTATTATTTGTTATTATGATAGCAATATAAATAAGTCCATTAGCTTTGAAGTGTCAGGATGTTTCAGTGTAGTGGTGATATCATGGTTATAAGTGGTTATTAGATTGACACTATTTACTGCAAGGTTCCCACTACACCAAGGCCACAGATGATTGTAGGCCCAATGTGTTAGTCTTCCTCCATCACTGGACCTACATCCTTTCAATCACAAGGTATGCTGTTTTACTAATTTCTAATATAATTTTGAATTGTAATTGTTCATTTGAGTTCTGTTGGACTTAAATTTGTGGAGGAAAACTCATGATCGGTTTAAAAACATTTATGTAAAGGTAAAAAATGTTATTTTAGATTTTTTTAACAATTATTTGTTTATTAAACTTCAATGTTTTCTAAGTCAACATAGTTATTATAGTTTATAGTTTTTATATAGCCTATAGTTTTTTGTGAATGGGCCTAGTGTAACATTTTTGCCTCATTGTGCCAGGTTGGACTCCTTCCGGTTTTAGTTAAAGTCTTGTATCCTAAAAACATGTTCAGGTATTCATTAGGTTTTTAAACATATTTAATTTTAAAATGTTTGAAACTACTTTTGTTTTAGCGAATTTTCCTATAGGGAAGTAGCTATTACCGTAGGTCTCATGGTAAGACTTAGGCCCGGGACCGATTTACTTTTTCATTTTGATGTCCCCAGAGGCCAAAAACACCACTCGTTCAAATGTTTATATATGTATATATATATATATATATATATATGTGTGTGTGTGTGTCCGTGAACACGATAACTTGAGTAATTTTTATCCGATTTTGATGAAATTTGGTTTGAAGGTGTAAGGCGGGATAAACTTGAATGAGTTCGCGATCCAGCATGATTGGACCATGGGAACAGAGTTTTATGGGGGGTTTTATGGGGTAAAAATTGGTTTTTCTCACTTTTGACCCTCAAAACACAAAATTTCCCAATTTGTCTCTAAACCTTCTTAAAGAGCTTAAAAAAACAAACAATTCAGTATATCAAAGTGTTTTTGTACGGTTATTGGTTACGGAGAAAACAAAAAAAAATGGTAAATTTAAAATTCCCATGTTATTCTTATGGAGAATATTGTAAAATGTTGTAGTTTGCTTGTTTATGGATATCTTTTGATCAAACTTGGCAAAGCAATAATTATTTTACTTAAAACACACACTTTATTAGTTTCCTTGTAGCAGCAAACCTAGGTACTCGTTAAACCTAATGTTATTTAAATAGATCAATTGAAAATCAATTCAGCCAAATGGAAATTCGCTTAGGCGTCAGGTTTGCTGCGGCAGGGGTATTTAAATATTAATGTGTAGTCACGGTTCATTATCTCAAATTAAGTTTAGGATTAAGTACAAAAACACACTGTGATTGGTTATTTTAATGATAACACCACTTGTATCTCAATTTTCTAATTAATTCATAGGTTCCTCATCTAATCATAAAGGTTTCAAATCTCCTTAAAACCCCATAAAATTACTGTCAATCAACAGTAAGTAATTTGCAATGTTATATATTAAAAAATTGGGTTTTCTTTTCCGAGTTCGTTTGGCTCTTCTACCCGACCCATTTTCATGATTGAGGTATCAAATTGAAGGTATGCGGAGCAGCATGGGCCCTCTGGTTCCTATTTAATTTAAATGTAACAGATTTAATTTAATTTAATTTGGTTTGGTGAATAGTAAAATTTGTTTGTTAATATTTTAAACATATGTTATTCTTTTTTTAACAAATAATAGACAAAATTATCCTGATATCATTCTGGAAATTCAAGCAAGTTTCTAGATCATACATGTGGGTAAGCTCAACTCGACATTTGTGTAGAACAATACTATCTTAGATTAAAAAGCTAGATTTGGCTTTGCAAAGATATTACCAATCTTCTGCAAATCATGATTCACTTTCATTTTTTATGATTTTTAAAAGAACTGACCCAGACCATTTACTCACATTATATTTACAATTCTAAATGACAACTAGTACCATATCCTTAATTATTTAGAAACAGTTATAGTGATATAGGAGTAGAAGTATCCCAATTTTCCAGGCTATTCAGACTCTAGTCATCCAGGGTCAATGAGGATGTGTATGTTTATCCTCATATTGCCTCATTGCTCATTGGGTCATTGGCTAATGGCCAACTACTCAAGGCCATCAACTAGTTCTCTAATTTTAGAGTCTCACAGAGGATTATAGTCCCAAACAATATTTTAAGAATTAGTACTATATGACATTTGTATGGAAGTATTGAAAATGAATTAATATGTGCTGATGTTCTGATTTAGTAGTACTGTAATCACTCTTTAGTTTCATAATACCCCTGCCGCAGCAAACCTACCGACTAAGCGAATTTCCATTTTGTCAATTAAATCTATTTAAATAACATTAGGTTTAATGAGCACTGGCACCTAGGTTTGTTGCTGAAAGGAAACTAATTAAGTGTATTTTTAGTAAAAAAATATTAATAGCTTAGTATGAAATAAATGAATTTGCCAAGTTTGATCAAAATATATCCATAAACATGCAGACTAAAAAATTTTACAATATTGCTGCCGCAAACCAATTTCAAATTATTTCAAAAGGTTCAAAAGTTAAGGGGGGGTGCAAGTTACTTTTCAGCCACCCTGTATAATGAAGTATCTTAAAGCATTGTTTTATGCTTAATGGTTATGAAGAAAATTCCTTAAAACTGCACATTTAAAATTCCCATGTTATGCTTATGGAAAGTAAGTGAACTGTTGTAGCTTGCTTGTTTATGGATATATTCTGATCATATTTGCAATGCTTACTTATTTTTTTATCCTAAGCTATTAATATTTCACTAAAAAACACACCTTATTATTGTACCTTCCTGTAGCAGCAAACCTAAGTACTCGCTAACCTAATGTTATTTAAATGGGGGAGGAAGAGAAATTGATTATTGATACCCTATAAAAATGAAAAAAAAAATAAAAGTGAATCATGATTTGCAGATTATTGGTAATATCTTTGTAAAGCCAAATCTACTTGTTTTAAATTTTTTAAAGAAGTTGTATGGAGAAGATTATAATTTATAATAAACAAAAAATGTAAAAACAAAATATTTGAATGATTTTTTTTACATTTAGAAGAAAATTGTTGTTGGTTAAGTAATTACAAACATAATATACAATATATATTATATTACATATATTAATACATCACACCGTTATCAACATATCATTGAAAGCATAAATAAAACCTTTATAATAACAACAATTCACAAAGTGTTCAAACCTGATTAAGACAAGATAACATTATTATGAGTTCTTAGAAGTTGATTAAGACAGTAAACAAAAACAAGCCTGCTATCAGTCACAGAGTTATGATTAGATTGAAGGTACCAGCAACTAGCAGTTAAGTGGCAGACAAGTACATCTATAGTCAGTGATAACTGGCATGGCCAAACCCAAATCTGGTGATGGATAGGGTTGCCATATCCCCAGATTTCCCCGGTGATTACAGGATTTTGACGTTCAAAATTTAGCTCCGGGGGATTTCTGCAAAAAGTGGGATATCTCCTCTTTTTTTACTGTCAATCAAAATACATTGTATAACGGCACTTTTGGAATAAATAAAATGTTTGTGTTCACAAATATTGTTATTCTATGCAATGACTGAAAAATTCAACTCTTGTACTCGCTATTGACATATTTTTAGTCCTTTAATTTGCGTCTGCCGGCCAGTTCGAACTCCAAAGTCCGAACGTAACCGTGTTCACTACCAGAGCCAAACCGAGTCTAGCAGACAGAGAGCGTTTTGCTAACGTTATTCTTTATTTTTAGTGAGATGTGACAACAAGATGCAAATTTTATGCTTTAGCATACCATATTTGAATATTGCACTTACGTTACACATTATATTTTCCTACAGTTACTATAAATCATATAAATAAGTAGTCTTTCAAACACTATACAAAACGTTTTTTTTAGGTTAGGTTAAATCCAAGCGTTGAACAAAATGGAAAACGCTGCACCAGCTGATTGCAGTCGTAGTATCTTTAAGTGTTACCTACTTATTTTCAAGAGTACACATATTACATTGTTAATAAAAGAATACTGTTGTGTTGTTTGATTAAAATAAAATACAGGAGTGTGGAAAAAAATGAGTGCGGCAAAAGTAAGTAAATGCAGTAATTAGCTACTTTGCCTGCTATAATCAGTGCAAGGAAGCACACTTTGTCAGGTAACTGTAGGAAAAATGAAATTGAAGATGTTCATTTACCTATTCCTAACTTTACAACTCTCAAATCTGTAAGGTTGTGTGGTTATATTTTTTCGTAAAACAGCATTAAAAGAATGTTTATAATAGTTATAAACAGTGCAGAGCATGTTTAACAGTAGTGTATGGTAGCTGTTGATAGCCAATTCAAAATTGAAGTAGTACATTCCTATCTTTAGAAAGAGATAATCTACTCTTTTTACGCTAGCTAATTTGGCCACACACTTTAAAAAAGTTATTGTAAAGGAATTCAAAGGATGTTTAACTTTCCAATTTTTTTTTTTTTTTACATACAATAAACTTGGTCGGAGCAAAGATTATTTATCACATTATGTGGATATTACATTTGTATGACCTATGAACACTACCCTTGCGTTTTAGTCAAATCAAATTTATGGTATACTCTGTTTATGTATTTGATTTTGAATTCAAATTAAAAGCTTCGCTGGTAACTTTGCTTCTAAACAAGAGTGATTTACCCTTGTTTTTCAAGGACAGTAATGAAGTCAATTATAGAAGAAAGGATAAGTAGCAGCTACTGCTATGTTAAAATCCTCATAATTCATTGAAGTGATTTAAAATTAAGATTACAAATTAGCTATCGCAAACGTATCTCTTTGTAAAAGAGAAGAGTCTATATCTTTAGGTCAAACAAAACTGTATCCATAAAGTTACTGAAATAATTTTATAAAAAAACTTGTAATCATACCTCGGTTTCCATGAACATCGACCAATAAGATAATTTCTCAAGCTTAACTTTGAAAACTTAGGAGCAGAGCCTAGATTGATACAGCAATTGTTATGGAATTATAAAAGATTTATAATAATTCTGGTTTAATACTTTTGACATAATCACATGTTTTGAGAATTCTTTAATTCACCTTCATGTAGCCTGATTTAACAAATGCACCACTTAAGTTTTATCATTTTCAGCCAGAATGACACAAAAGCTGCCAGAGTGGTTGGACAAGACATTCCTACAAGCTGCTCTTCAAGGAGGAGAAGATAACGAGCCCAAAGTGACAGTTAATGATTTTACTGCAGAACTAGCGGTAGCGGCCGGTAACAACTACACAAGCCAAATCTTCAGGGTCGTCGTGAAATACACAGCAAATGGATCAGAAGATAAATCCACAACTCTTATTGTTAAGGCACCTCATACTCAGTTGCAGGACATGGGAGCAGAACTCGGACTAAGTGAATGGTTCGACAAAGAACCGGTTATATACAACATTATTTTGCCAAAAATGAAAGAAAAGATAAAAGTTGACTTTGGTCCTAAAACATATTTCAGTGCACAAAAAAGTGTGTTGGTATTTCAGGATCTGAAAGAAACAGGGCACATCATGTGTGATAAATTTAAACAATTGGATTACGCTCATTGTGAGGTAGTGTTGAAAAATTTAGCGAAATTCCATGCCGTTTCAGTCGCTCTTCACAGTGAAAATCCTGAAGAAATCGAAACACTCGGAATAGAGCCCATATTTAGGGAAGGTAATCCCATGAAAGAATTGATGAAGTCACTTTTGGTGTTTGCAATAGAAATTGTAAAAGAAAGCTTGAAAAATACAGAAAATGGTGAACCTGCCTTACAGTTTTTGCTTGACAAGCAAGAAACACTGTACAATTCATTGATAGAAATTGTTAAACCCAAAAAAGAAGGTTTGAATGTTATGAACCATGGAGATTTGTGGAACAACAATATGATGTTCAAACACTCAGAGTCAGGAGAAGTGGAGGAAGTAAAGTTCATTGACTTTCAAGTATTACGATACATGAGCCCGGCCATCGACATTCTGTACTTCACCTGGACCAGTGCGGACGAAGAAGTGCGGGAAAACAGACTACAAGAGTTGTACGACATTTACCTACAAGAACTCAACGAATGTCTACAACTACTAGGATGTAAAGAGAGGTACACTTCTGAAGAGTTATGGCAAGATTTAAAGTCCTCGGTTGACTTTGCTCTTGTAGTTGCATGTCAAACTTTGCCAATGACACTTGCTGAAGAAAAGGATGCTCTTGACATGGCTGAATTTGACATGAAAGAGTTTGCAAACATGAGTAACACTGGTGCTATGGACCCGAATTTACTAAGATTATACAATGGAAAAAATTTCAAAGCCAAAGTACCAAAAATCATCCAACAAATTTACCAGACCTTACATTAAACGTTGCTCTAAAGGTTAATGTTCTAGCTCTTTGCACAGATATGTTGTTGAGAGGAAATTAGTTTTAAAAAGACTACATTTTTTTTATTAATCAACCTTAAAATTTGTCAAATATTTTAAATTAATGTGTTTTACTAACAATTATATTGTGTTATTATTTTGTTCAATGATGACTCACAAGTAAAAATATGTATATAAAATAAAGCTGATCATATCAAGAACACACGAACATTTTTTTTGCAACTAAATATGTAATAAGGCTCACAGTATCAATTTAACATGAATTTTCAAAAAGAATCCATATAAGGGGTACAGTAATTTCAAATTTATTTCCTCCTGGAAAGTTAAGTATAGAATAGAACCTTATCTATTCAGAACACTCACATGCAAATGCCAATGATGTGTTTTATTTTTCTGCCTTGACTATTTGACCCTTTGTCAAATACTACATGCAATGTTCAAAACTATAGCTTTGGGTGACTATCTGCAAATTTCAGGTTAGGAAAAGAAACATAGAAAATTAAATTTTATGTTTTATGTTTACTGATAGAAGGAAAAGCTCTATTGAATGTATGTGTTTCCCTTGTATAGACTTACTTCAGTAACAACTGGTTGGAAACTGGGAGAAGTGGAGGAGAGAAGTGGGAGAAGAAGAGGGAAACTGGGAACATTGCGACTTTGGCTCAACACAGATAAAACACAAAATTTGCTTTTTAGTTTAAAAAACAACCCAAATAATTTTAATCTTGATTTAGTCACAAATGCTAAATTCCTAGGTATTTATTTAGACAATCATTTAACTTGGAGCTCACATATAGATTACATTAGTACGAGACTATCAAGAGTAATATATCTTATGAGACGCCTTATAAACATTATTCCTAAAAATTACATCAGAAGTGCGTACTTTTCCTTTTTTGAATCTATCATTCGATACGGTTTAATACTGTAGGGAAACTGCTCAGGAATTCAGGACATTTTACTGCTCCAAAAGAAGGTGATTAGAATTATGGCTGGAGTACATTTTAGGGAACATTGCAAACCACTTTTTAGGCAGCTTCAGATTTTAACCGTCATAGACTTATATATTTTTGAAATCGCAGTTTATATATTAAAAAACTCTCATCTATTAAAATTCAAAGACAAAATTCATAATTATAATACCCGAAACAAAACTAAAGCAGTGATTCAATATTGTCGCTTAACTAAATCGTTGGATAGCCATGTGGTGATATCTTTAAAAATTTACAATATCTTTGAGCCTATGATTAGAAAATATTCAATAAATCAATTTAAAAACAAACTCTATAATTGGTTACTAGATAACCCATTTTATACATTAGATGACTTTTTAAAAATTTGTGAAATCAAATTTTAACATAATGTAATCTTTGCACTTATTTTATTTTATTTTATTATTATTATTTATGTTATTACTATTATCTTTTAATATTATTATATTGTATTTTACATGAGATTTTTAGAGGTATTTAAAAAAATTTAGTTTCTTACACAAATTTGTCTAACTTCTTTGATTGCTTGACAAAAAAAACTTGAACAAATTTTTTTTTTATTTAATTACTGTTGTTGGAATTTAACTATTCCTAATTAATATTATTTCATTATTTTTTTTCTTTTTTCCCTTCATTTTAAGAAATTTACTAAGCTCTCAAATGTTTTTATGTTTTATTAATAGATAGCGTAAAAGAAAAAAAGTTAAGTTAATTTATCATTTTAATTTTTACATTCTCTAGATACTTAATCCTATACTATTGTAGATGTGTAGTATGTATGTATATGACGTAGGCCTATACATAGGCTGATGTGTTGACTTTGTCAATGATTTGTAAAAATCCAAAAGACAAATAAATGATATGATTTGATTTGATTTGATTTGTTGACGGACAGTACAGATAGTATCAAAACCAGGGTTTGGACCATTACCTTAGAAAAAATTGGAAAACTCCCCTGGCGTAGAAACAAAATAAAATAGAACAAAACTATTAAATTATTTCCTTATTCTTTAAATCCACCTAAAACTATGTTTTTTATCAGTTGTTTTTATAAGTAATGTGAAATGTAAATGTTATAGAAATTTTGAGAACTTTAAAGACAGACAGAATCTATCTGTTCATCACAGGGCGTCTAGTTCCATTAAAAAAATTCATGACAAATTTAATAACAAAGTTATCATTTTTATTATCCAACGCTCACCTTTCAATATATTTTGCTGTAAAATGCAGACCCTGGAGTTTCGACACCGTAAAATCTAACCTTGGTAATCTGCCACAATATACGAATTGTGGATATTTATAGGCATGCACAGTGGATGCGATACTCCCTACTACTACTACTCTACTCCTGTGGCCACACAAATCCCAAGTGATTTTTGGCCTCCCCAACAATGCTCCTCCACCGCTGCCTACAAACTTGCTCCTAACCTCCTGAGGTCCTGCCTCACTTGGTCATTCCATCTTAATCTGGGCCGTCCCAGCGGCTGTCGTCCTTCTGGTTGCCCCATCCATACCTTCTTAATCATACTGTTAACATCTCTTCTATATACATGTCCCAGCCATCGTAATCTTCTGCTCTTTACCATATCTGGGTCATTATAAAGTTCTCTTAATTCTTGGTTTTTCCTTATCCGCCATTCACCATTGTCATTAATAGTTCCAAACACTCTACGTAAGATTTTATTTTAAAAAACTATCAATTTCTTTTCATTTTGCTTTGTAAGCGTCCAGACCCATATAGTAGAACTGGTTGTATTATTACTTTATACAACTTTATTTTAGTTCTTCTGTTTAGGAGTCTACTTCTAAATAGTATTGTTAGACTCCAATAGCACAGTTGAGCTGCTGCTAATCTACATTGTATTTCGTCGTCTTGTCTGCTTTCACTTGTTATTGTCACTCCCAGATATTTAAAATTGTCAGTTTTTGTGAATTTAAAATTTAAGACTTCCAAGTATGGTTGGTTATCAGGTAGTCTACTTATCTTCATTATCTTAGTTTTCTCTTAATTTATTTTTAGTCCCACTTTTTGTGTTTCAGTGATTAGCTTTTCTGCTAGCTCCTTAATATCATTTTTATTTTCTGCTATAAGTGCCACATTGTCTGCAAATGCTAGAACCTTTGTCTTCCCGCTAATCTTTGCACCTCCCTGAAGACTGCTCACCTATCTCAGCGCTTCTTCAATGACTAGATTAAATAATAATGGGGATAGTGCATCGCCTTGTCTTAGTCCTGTGTTAATTCTAAAGGTGTCTGAATATTCATTTCTCTACCAAATAATCTGTCAATTAAATTTTTTTTAGTTTTCTTCATGTCTACTGTTGCAAGGTTAAGTACTTAAGAAATTTTAATCATCGGATTACTTTTCTATAGCATATAAATTTGTGTTTCTATTAGGTAAAGTTGTTTTATGCTTAGTGGTGTATGGGTAATTGTTCTAAAATGACTAGATTTGTTCAATAATTGTATTAAAAAATGCTGCACTTTCACCGTTAAAAAAACTTTAATCCTCTGTAGGTATTTGATTTGTTTCATTGTATTCTACTTTCAAAATTATTCTGATGACTATTTCCTAAAGTCAAAATAACTTGATTGTCTAGAACGAGGAATATCTTATTATTTGTTATTATGATAGCAATATAAATAACTCCATTAGCTTTGAAGTGTCAGGATGTTTCAGTGTAGTGGTGATATCATGGTTATAAGTGGTTATTAGATTGACACTATTTACTGCAAGGTTCCCACTACACCAAGGCAGTGGCGTTGCTTGGTTAAATTCCAGGGGGGGGGGTGAAGCCTCAAATTTCCCAACTGCTTAACATAGATTTCCCAACTATTTTTTTTTTGTTTAATCAATTTCTGTACTATTTTTAAAAATCTACAAATTATTATACTACACTGCAGTAACATTCAATTCAGTATTTATATAATTATATATATAGTTATATATATTATAGTTTATATTAGTTTTACATATATACAAAATTACTCAATTTCTAAAACATTTACCAATTCATAATGAAATTTTATGACTTGAACAAGTAATGTTTCAAATCAAAAAAATTTGCAAACCATTGTGGTAGCAGACGTAGCAGTGTAAAATTTTAGGGGTATAAAATAAGCCTCTGAGTACAAATTAGTATAGAAAAAATATTGTATAAAAAAATAATGAAATTAAAATACTTTTAGAAGTTAAGATCAACATTTTAACTTTCATAAATTTTACAACTAGGGTAGGCCTAAACAAGTTTGTAATGATGAAATATTAGGATGAAATATCAGTGTTGTGAATAATATTATTCTAGCCTATAGAAAAGAATAAACCTAAAATAAGACTCGTATAAAATAAAAACGTTCAACTTGGTTGATAATAAACTTATACATACAATAAAAATGTTAACCTTCATCTTCATGAAACTAGAACTTAGACAAAAATCAAACTTAGAGAGAGTGAAAGTCAAACATCAAATTTTAGGTTATGTTTTGCCCATGTAGATCTGTTTCAGAGTGATTAGTTGATTCATTTGTAAATCCTTAATTAGGAATGAGAAATAACTTGTGTAGATTTTTTAAATATATTCAGAGAATACATATTCCATTTAGGTTATTATAAAAATAAGAGTTTTAGAGGTAATACCGATACACAAAACCTATCTTTAATGTTATTTTAATCTGCGTATTAGCAAGTACGGAGTCAGTTAGCCTGCTCCAAATGCCACGAAAAAGGTATAAAATATATTTCATTAGACTGACGTGAAAAATATTTTAGAATTTCTTGTAAACACTAACAAACAACATAATTGAACAGAAGAGCTACATTGCTTGCACTTTCAAAATTCAAACTCGCAGTCTCGCAGACGAATCATTCAGAATCATCAACACAGGACAGGATCAAGGTAGCCCACATACGTCCAATAAGGAACAAAATTTCTCGTAAACGAAATTCCAACAAGCTATACCGCTAATTGATTATTGATTTCTTAAAATAAGGCGTGTTTAGCCATGGTTTAGCCTTGTTTAATCAAAGTTAAATTAAATAAAAGAAGCGTCAAGTTTATTTGTCCAAGTGAAAGAAATTTTTATCTTTGATGGATTTTTGCTAATATTTAAATTTTATTTAGTTTAAAAATATATTTTTCTTGTATCTGACTTCCCAACTGTCCCAACTCGTGGCAAGGAAATTCCCAACTTTTCTCTTTCCCAGATTCTAGGGGGGGGGAGGCTCCCCCCTACCCCCCCCCATTCCCCCACCACAAGGCGACGCCCCTGCACCAAGGCCACAGATGATTGTAGGCCCAATGTGTTAGTCTCCTCCATCACTGGACCTACATCCTTTCAAACACAAGGTATGCTTTTTTACTAATTTGTAATATAATTTTGAATTGTAATTGTTCATTTGAGTTCTGTTGGACTTCAGTTTGTGGAGGAAAACTTATGATCGGTTTAAAAACATTTATGTAAAGGTCAAAAATGTTATTTTAGATTTTATTACAATTATTTGTATATTAAACTTCAATGTTTTCTAAGTCAAATACTATTATAGTTTCAGCCAATACTTCTGAGAACGTTGTTGTTGTTTTTTTTTATCAATAACATTAGGCTTTTCAACTTGCACTTGGAAAAAATATACTGAATTCATTATTTTAAATAATTCTAAAAATATTTTAATAACTTTGATTATTTATTCGATTAGTTACAAAAAAAAAACAGCAAACCTGCAGACTAAGCTAATTTGCATTTTTCTATTTTTTTTACTTCAATATTTCCTTAAAAATGTTTTTTGTTTGCAGAATATTGGCAATATCTTTGCAAAGCCAAATCTAGCTTTTCAATCTAAGTTAGTATTGCTTCACACAAATGTTGATTTGAGCTTACCAACATAGCAATTTTTTTAAATTTACCCCAAAAAGTCACATTTATGATCTAGAACCTTGCTTGAATTTCCAAAAATGATGATATCAGGATAATGTTTCCTATTATTTGTTAATAAATAATAACATGTGTTTAAAATATTAACAAACAAATTTGTGTATTCACCAAACCAAATTAAATTAAATTAAATCTGTTACATTTAAATTAAATAGGAACTAGAGGGCCCATGCTGCTTCGAAGCGTTAAAATGAATATCATATCCGAGAAATAATAAAACTTATGATTTTTGGTCAAGTAATGCAATAGATAAATATATGCCAATGCTTGATGTGAAATCTGTGCGTGCATATCTTCAATTTGAGATTTCGATCATCAAAATCGGTCAGGTAGAAGAGTCAAACGAACTCGGAAAAGAAAAACAAAATTTTTTAATATATAAGATTGCAAATTACTCTTAAGGGTTTACTGTTGATTGACAGTAATTTTATGGGGTTTTGAGGAGATTTGAAACCTTTATGATTAGATAAGGAACCTATAAGGTAATCAGAAAATTGAGATACAAGTGGTGTTATCATTAAAATAACCAATCACAGTGTGTTTTTGTACTTAATTCCAAACTTAATTTGAGATAATGAACTGTGACTACACATTAATATTTAAAAACAAAAGTAGTTTCAAATATTTTAAAATAAAATATGTTTAAATTTTAAAAACCTAATGAATACCTGAAAATGTTTTTTAGGATACAAGACTTAACTGAAACCGGAAGGAGTCCAACCTGGCACAATGAGACAAAAATGTTAGGGGTAGCGGATTTTTATCCCCCTGGGCAAACGTGACGTCACAAAACAGGGGGTAAAATTCTGGCCGCGAACTTTTGAGTTTAGCGATATCAGTTCCATGGATTAAACGCGGAACGAGACTAAAGAAGTCCCCTGAGCTCCGGCCTATTCGTAGTTTGAAGGCGTTACGCTTGAACGTTTCGCGCGACAATTACTGTAGA